GTTTTGTTAATATTTTATTAAGGTATCATGTACAAATATTGCTACTCATAATGAAAATAAATTGGTTAGATACATATGAATACATTCATTTTGTTTGATTGTCATTAATTCAAATCCAGCTAAAGTGTCATTTCTCTTTTCTTATTTCAATCAATCATTGACTCAACTATACCAACAATCCAACATATACATGTAGACAAGATGTAAGGGACAAGGTCAATGAATATTATGTATACTCACAAATGTAATTAATTAATTGCTTTGTTGATTTATTGCATTTTTGTATGTATCTTAAGCAAAAGGAATCAACTTTTGATAAGGAAAATTAATAAATATTAATTTACTTTTTGTAGAGAGTGAAGGGGTCAGCAAAAATGTAATTAGAGGATGGGGAAGCAATGCAGTCCATGTAGGTAACTCAGTGCAGTCATTTGTGTCCGTGTCCAACAATTACCTGAATTGATGACATTGCCTCCATGTCCTCAAAGAAGGAGAAAAAGTATCGCAATAGATTTTGGACAGTCAAATGTTGGATTTTGGCTATTTTCTGAGAATTTAGACAGTTGCATATGTTAGACAAATGCATTACTTCCAGGAAAAGCACTCTTAGAGATCATAAAATAATTTCGACTTTGAGACAGGATAGATGCAAACAACCCACCCACATGTTTTTTCTGAAATGTTTTCCTGATTTTCCCATCTATTGAGTCAAGATAGTATCCTATTCTGATTACTGTCCAAGGGTTAGTTGCCAAGGCTTAAGATATTTTGCAATATGCGACTCACAAATGTATTTGTGATCAATAAAATTTAGTCATGATAAGCCCTTTTGAGGTCAATATCACCCTTTTCAAGAACACACATATAAGATTGGTTATATGGTATACAAAATGTTTTATTTTCTCTTCACACTAAATATGTACAGTATATCACAGTCGCAATATTTAGTTACATTATACTGTCAACCATGTGCATGGAAATCAACATGTAACATTGATTTTCAGTATTACGATTATATTTTGGATGTCCTATTGACTCCTATGTTATTATCAGAATCAATTATATGTAACTTGGACACCCTCAATGTGCACACCTTAAACCAGCTGAAGTTGTGTTCACTTAACACATGATTCAAGGTAGATCTAGTCTTACATCTATGTTCAAAAGGTCTCGTTTATCATTAGCAGAATCAGATCAAGTGAGCAACCTTGGCAATTTTTTAATTCTAAAATATTTTTGGCTCATAATTAAGTTATTACTGTGTATTTCTAAAGTCCTCCAAAATTCATAGATTTTTACATTTCATTTTTCCAAAAATATGGACATCATTTATTAATTTGGAAAATTTACATTGAGATATTATATTTGAGATGCCAAATAATATATCAATTACATGTGTTGCTTTCAATTTTGTCAACCCCTTATCTCTCTTCTTCTAAAGGAACATAACCATAATGATAATAGTAAGTTTGAGCAACATGCAGTGGAATGTCTTGAGACTGTATACAAAATAAAATAAAACAATGTATGTAAATAGCATTTAACCTCAGATGTAAATCTGTTAAATGAATATTCAGCTGTTATTTATAATGCCCATAAATCCCTCATCTATAAAAAATTAATTTATAGTCTTGATTAAAAGATGATAAAGTAATGTAGTAAATTACAAACAACAGTGCCATCTTTCTATCTGAACAAAACCTTTTTATCAGCCTCCACTGAAAATGAAAATGACCCCAAAACAAGGTACATAGATATTGATTTATGTAAACACCAGGATTTTGTACTGATGAACAACTGGCATGTAAACATCAAATAAATCAATACATTGTCAAATGAATCTAATCTCTTGCAATATATAGTGTGAATGTGAACCCAAAACTTTTTGTTTCTACAGATGTCACAATTGATGGGTCATACTTCAAATAAAAGATATGGGAAACTTTATTTGCATGCAAATTGGATTACCCTTCTGTAGAATCTAGTTGCCATCAACCTGAACAAACACATACCTTTTATACTAATAAAGGTATTATAAATCATCCCAAATGGTGAGCAAATCAATCAGTTCAAGTACCTTGCCAAAATATTTACATAAGTACATTGCATAGGGCCTAGGCCTATTTGAGATTATAGTAAAAAATGTCATCAATGAAATTGCTTTCCTAAATGGTTGTCAGATCAATGTTGTCCTGTTGTCATGGCATAATTATAACACACAGCTCGTTGTCAGGCAATCAATGTAATATTTCAGTTCATAAGTTTTTAATTTTTTAAGTATTTTATCTTAAACACCCAAGCCCATTGGCAAGGCATCTGGTTGAAGGGTATGGATGGAATGTCAATCCTGATTCCTTGAGATAGAGGTACATAGCTGAAATACCCAGCATATCCCAAAAGGGACACTTTGGTTGAAGATGTTGAGAGAGGAGCTCCAAGGATCAATGTATTAGTCTTAGGCCAATTCAATACAATAGCATACACATTGATGGTCCCACCTTGATCAGGTTTACTGGTGTACCATACAGCTGGGGTAATGGTGTCATTCTGATGGCTCCATGGTCTTGTTTTGTAAATAGCCTCTCCATTCACTTTGAGCCATTCACCCATATCTTTAAGACGTTGTTGGAAAATTGGTAATATGCGGCCATCATGAGTAGGTCCTATGTTCATGAGGAGATTTCCACCTGTGCTGACAGTCTCAGCAAGAATTGCAACCAATGAGCTTGTGTTGTAGTAATCCTCAAGATTAGCATCACGCCTATATCCCCACGATCCACGATCAATAGACATACAGTTTTCCCATTTGCGTTTCTGCAGGACACCTGGATTGTACTTATCATTACAGTTCAGGAATCCTCCATGCTTACACCTTGCATCGTTTCCCCAACGGTCATTTATCGCAATTGTGTCTTTTACTGGACTTTCGTTATACAGCCAAGCTATGAACTCTGTAGCATTCCAATATTTGTATGTGGTTTCCCAATCCCCATCAGACCATAACACATCTGGCTTGTAGTTATTAATCAGCTCATATAATTCAGGCATACATTTATTCTTGACAAATTCTTGCGTTGTAAAGTTATTTGCTTTGTCTTGCAGATAGAGAGGGTTAAACCAGTCCATCATTGAATGGTACACACCAAAGTGAACATTTGGTGCATGTTTCCTTACAGCAGTTGCAAGATCACCAACAAGATCTCTATGTGGACCAACGTCCATAGCATTCCAATTCCACGAGGCTTTCGATGGCCAATTTGTGAACCCCTCATGGTGTTTTGTAACCAGGACAACATATTTGGCACCAGAATTTTCCAGAACTTTTGCCCAAGAATCGGGATTATAGAATTCTGCAGTAAACATAGGTGCAAAGTCAGCATAAGTGAAACCCGGAGGATAGTTCTTTTTCATAAAGTTCACAAATTCAGTTTTGTTATAGTGCCATTCATGCCAAAACCATTCAGTGTGAAAACTAGGCACTGAGAATACTCCCCAGTGGATGAAGATTCCAAACTTAGCCTCATCGTACCATGCAGGTAGTGGTCTACTATCTAAAGACTCCCAATTTGGTTGATATTTGCAATGTATATTAGCTGTAAGCACACAAAGACCACAAAGAATAAGCACAATTTTTCCATACATTTTGTTTTGTTGTTTACTTCCGGGATCAGTCACATGATCATTGATTTAAAATGGATTTTGAATAAAGAATTAGTTACACAATTTATTTATTTAAATTTGATTCTCTTAAATAGTTAAATTATTGGCTAAGTGGTTTAATTGAAATTAGTTCATTATTTTCGCTGTAATATAAGTTTTTGAAGTTTAACATTTTATAATATAGAAAGTGAAACCGGAAATACTTTTCAAATTTCTGTTTCTGACAAATTTCGATATATTTTCCCTTATTTCAACGTTACAAAGGTATGTATTCTATATCTACATTTGGCATAGTACGCATAGTATATAAGTTGTAATGAGAAATTAAGAAAATATACAACATTTTTATTCTTTTGTAAAAAATTCAAATGGAAAGGTGAAGGTAAAAATTACTCCCTTTGTCACATGCCTTAATTAAGATAAAACACTTATTCTCTAGATAAGTTCATATGGTTAAAATAACGAAATAATGAAATGTCACTGTGCGTCTACTTAGCAGTTTGTTCTATGTCATCCCTCCTGCTAGGTTACATTGTGGAACGCAGCCAAACACGACACAGCAACAACATGTCAATATTGATCTTAGCAGAATTTTTGGAAATTTAGATCGGGTAATCTACAACTGATTCGGTTCTTTGGTTCTGTTCTATGCGTATATTTTCTGCACATCTCAAATGTGATTGGTTGATCTTATATGATACATGCGCAATGGTCATTGGAAAAAACACGAAAGAATTTACCCAGGGGGTATTACGTTCCAAGTTTGGGGCACTGCCCCTTTATGTCAAGAAAATTCCTTCCCATTTACAGTACATGTTTCGCCCATACATTAATTTTTACCATATTTGCCGCCGCAATCCATTATCATACTTTAAAATATTCAACAAATAAATTAGTTCAACGTCGTTAAACTCAATAACGGCGTTCTTTACTATTAGGAATTTTTTCTTGGGGCCATTATTGAGTTTAACCTCCATGCTCTTCTTTCCTTTGATGCAAGTTGTGGATCTATCGAAACCACTTTTCCTCGCTAATATGACACTGATACTTAACAATAATATAAAACCACATTTCATCAGGCGATTTCACATAATATTATTGTGTTAAATGTTCATTTTTAATCGTAAAATGAGTCTTATTCTTACCAATTTATGAGACGGCAATGTCTGTCTGTGCGTCGCCAAAGTAAACTTGGTCAGCGAAACGAAATTGTTCTTCAATATTGATATTTATTATAACCATCCAGTATGACACGAATCTTTGCTTTATTCAAACAGCGCGTGTATTCACCCAAGTTTACTCTATTGTTATTTATAAAAACTTTAAAAAGCAATACTCGCAACATTATTGATGCATTTGATTACTGGTAATTTCAGCTCAAAGAAATATAGATGTCATTGATTGTGCTAGATTGTGATTGTGTTGAATAATTGTGCCTAAATATTAAATTATGGTAATTGTTTATGGTTTTCTGCTTGCAAAAACGTACCTAGGAATACACTCAATTGTTTATAACTGGGATCATGTATTTTACTCAGCATACATGCAATTACAATTACATTACAATTGTTACATTTTAATAACTTCAATGTTTATTGCAAGCCTCCTACAGTATTACAATATTTTGTACTTATATATAGGATAACCGGGGTTCGTTTCGTTTTATGAACTTGTTTCGTTCAGTGTTGCTAACGGCGGTTTATTCCTGAAAGGATTTGCCATTTCGATGTTACCGGAACCAGAACAGAGTTTTCTAAACTAAGAAAAAGCCTTCTCCCAACATTTTCATAATTATACATCGATGAGGTTACAGGGGGGTATGTGATGATTTGTATTTATTCATAAGGTATGTATGCATGCGTTGATCACATTATTTCTGTAACGATACCATCTTATTACGGTTTAATTAGTTCCGCATGTCGAAACCTGCTGAACGATTAAATGATCGCATCAAGGGCAAAATCATCATGGAAGTTAGACCTAGCCGGGGCCATAAGACATGTCAGATAAGAAACGAGGCCCAGGCTAGGTCTAATGTTGTTGGACTACAAATAAATATGACCAGTTTTGATTTTAAATGTAAAGGTCCAGTGTAAAAGTGAATGGATGGTTCTAGATTTGAAGCAACTACCTAGGATCATGGGTGTACATCAGGCCTGTCAACTGTCCCGCAATTTGCGTATTTGTCACGCATTTGCTGAAGAATTTGAAGTCACGCCAGTTATTTTTGCGTGACAGAAAATGTCACGCAAATACGCATTTTACCTGGTCATTGTCAAGCAAAAATATATCTGTAGAAAAATTTCTAAAAAAGATCGTCTACAAAAATACGAACGCGGGAAAAAAATGTACGCATTTCGTTCGGACTTTTCACGCGAATTACGTATATGTCACGCATTCCGTTCAAAATATTTCGTACCTACCCCCCCACCCCCCCCCCCCCCCCCCCCCCCCCCCCCCCCCCCCCCCCCCCCCCCCCCCCCCCCCCCCCCGTTGACGGATGTTTGAAAAGCGAGCGTAGCGAGCGCGAAAAATTTGAGGTGTTCAAAATTTGGCAAGATGTAATAAAATTTAAACCAAGGTGTTCAAAATTTGGATCAAGGTGTCCAGATTTGGACCAAGGTGTCCACATTTTGAGGGGAGGTGTTCAACATTTCCAAGTCACTCATGTTAGGTGTTCCCAAGTTGACAGGCCTGGTACATGTAAGGATGATCCTCATTCATACTGTTCACAGCATGGATGATGATGACTGAACTAATGGAAGGATCCCAGGAAGGATGTACTTATCGAAAGCTATCATGGGAAACACCTTTTATTTTGCGCATGCCTGGAAATGAACCGAATCAGTTACAGAACCGAACCAAATCAGTTGTAGATTGCCCTTACTCCTTGACTCCGACTGGCCCTGGGCCTATGAATCATGAACAAGATTACAAGTGGATCGAGATTTACATTGATGTAGGAAAATCCTGTACAGATGTGTTACAAATGTGTCACTGTTTATTTCCATTGACACCTGTGTGAAACTACATTCATAATTTATATGTACGGATAATGGGAAGATATATATTCCTGAGACCATCATAAAAAATGTTGTCTCAGTATTATATACTGAGTGAATACTCTAGGTTTGGCATCTTGAATCAGAAAAAAACTGCATGGCTCCGCCCTGAGATGTCGTTATTCACTGACATTATAACTCGCAATAAATTCGTAAATGTTACTATCGAAAGATTTATACTTATATCCCGATCCCCTGTGATGTGTTTTGAATTTATTTTTTAGTTATGGAATAAGACCAAATCTTGGGATTAAAAATCTGAAGCGGGAAAAATATTCAAAATGTAGTGAAACCGTTGAAAGCCCATGGTGTAACCTTTAGATAACATGGGGCTTATGTTCACTACAGTATGTTTATATGACAGTAAACAGGAGGTTTACAGTCACACCCGGGTGCTCTATTCCCTTATTTAAATGTCCATTTCGCAGACCAGGGTGCACCAGGGTTTAAGGCCATTCAAAACAAAAAAAGTGTTTAATGTGGTCACAAAATATAAAAATTTGTTTGATTAGAATTTTATATATGCTATTTTCTATCTATCAAGACGTTAAACATTGTTATTTATTTTGATTGGTCTAAAATGTGCAAAGCTAGAAGACCCTTATACTCGTTTATTCTCTATTTTGCAGAAGTACTCGTTGCCATAAGTCGCGCCCTCAAAACCCGGGTTTGCCGTCATCCAAATCCGCCTTTGCAAAAATGTGAACTGTTCATAATTAGAGTCATTCGTGTTATTTTCAGGAGTTTTCAAACCCGGATTTAATTGCTTTTATTAGAAGGATTCCTCGTTATCCCAGACTGACACAACAGAAATTGTCAACACTGGAGAATGGTAATAGCTCGGAATCGTATTTTAATCAAATATTATCCACATTTATGAATAAAAATAAATGTGTCAAGTTCCTCATCTCTACTGGTCAATTTTTCCTTGCATTAGTAGCCGTTGTACTGATATATTATCTAAGATAAAATAGAGAACGAACGAATATAAGGGGTCTTCTAGCTTTGCACATTTTAGACCAATCATAATACATAAATTTTTCTAATATGTTTAACGTCTTGGTAGATACAAAATAACACGTATAAGATTCTAATAAAACGAACTTTTATATTTCGTGGCCTCATTAAACACTTATTTATTTTGGAATGGCCTTAAACCCTGGTCCGCGAAATACACATTTAAATAAGGGATTGATGCACCCGGGTCTGACTGTAAATTTGCTGTTCACTGTCGTATGAAAATGAATGTAGTTTCGCACAGTTGTCAACGGAAACAAACAGTGAACCCTGCTTTCCCGAACCCGGGTTTCCAGGATTCGCCTCGCATGCCTTCGACTCTTTCTCCTATTTTGACTAAGATAATATATCAGTACAATGGCTATAAAAACAAAGTAAGTTTGACCAGTAGAATAGGGACGTGAAACATATTTTTTTTATTCATAAATATGGATAATATTTGATTTAAATACAATTCTGCACTATTCTCTCCAGTGTTGGCAATTTATGTTTTGTCAGTCTGCGTCAAAAGCTTACAATATAGTATTGATAATGAGGAACCCTTCTAATAAAAGCAATTAAATCTAGGTTTGAAAACTCCCAAAAATAACACTTTTCAAAGGCAGATTTGGATAAAGGCAAACCAAGGTTTTGAGGGTGCAGCTTATTCCAATGAGTGTTTCTGCTCAATCATGTCAAATAGGCTAAATTCGGATCAAATATGTGGGACAATCACACTAACTGGGGGATGCTGCCCTGTCAACCCTCACGCATTAGGCGTGATTGTCATGCATTTGCTGGAAAAATTGAAATCACGCATTAATTTAGCGTGTATGATCAAATTTCACGCAAATCACACATTTTGTTGATGTTTTTAAAAAGCGTTTTTTGTGAAATGCCGATACGGTAAAATACCGAACAGCGAAAAAAGCGAACGCATTCCGTTCAGGCTTTGCACGTGATTATGTCACGCATTTTGTAGTACAAAATATGTGTATATATCACGCATTTGTTTCGAAAAAATTTACACCTTCCCCTCCCCCCCTATGCCTATGGCCTAAGAAAAGTCTTAAGAAAAGTTAGTGCGCGTTAATACTTTGTATCATATTGAGTGGTGTTTTTGAGTTTTCATACTTTAACTACGTATTTAGCAGCTTTATAGATAATTTCAGGTGTACTTTGTTGTAAAAGCCTATGTTATTGTTAA